CCACCTCCCCCCTTTTTTACTTCCCCCTTACTCTTTCGATCTAAACTCTTTCATTACTCTCTCTCTCTTCTTGATGACAAAATTTACGATTGCACTGTTCCCGTAAAGTACGAACAGATATCGAATCGTGGTTGCTGCAGTTACGGTACAAAGCAGTTGGTTCAAGGGTGTTGCTTCCAGGTTGTTGCGGTATAACGTTTTAACCCGTAGATGCTATTTGCTGTTGTTGATGTTCCCTGGAAGGGAAGGAGCGTGTACAAAAGCTACTGGTGGATAAGTGGTTGTTCGTTGGTTTGGTTGATTATTAGATTGATTGGTCGTCGGCGCCTACTGCGTTAACAGGAACGCTGTAGTTGGTTGGCTGGGAGTTGTCGCTTCATTCACGCTTTTGGTTACGTCAACCATTAATTCGCTGGAGAAGTAGAAATTGTTGGTGGCTTGTCGGAGAGGTGGTCACGTGGTGTCTCATGATATTCGTCATGAAATATCACAACGCTTTGGCAGATTAACTCGCTGCAATCTGGGATTGCATCGCCAAACCTCAGTCGTACTTTTCTTAATTTTATCAATTTCAATTTCACACTTTTCCATTCTACATTCTGTATTGTCTTATTTCTGTATTTCCGTTCAAAAAGCAAATTCTTTCAAAGAGAAAAGACAAGAAATATGCGACTGAGGAACAGTAAATTATTTGGTGGACTCACAATCTGGTGAAAAGCATCCTCAAGATTTAGAAAACATGGTATTGGCAAAGTAGATCTAATACAGGTTGAATAAATTGTAATTTAATAACAGCTTCATTACGAAGCACCAACGCATTTTTTTCTTATACCAACATATATGCGAAAGTACTCATCGCAGTATCACTTACATTTGGTTTGTGCAGCTTTTGTAATACGAATTGAGAAGGCTCAGTGCTGATTCGCGTCGGCGGATGCGATGACTCGCGTCGCCGACAGACCTCTGGAGAGGACGTCAGCACTCGGCCGAAATAACCGCTTGTGACACGGTGTCTGGTGCAGGACTCGGTCGCTTTCACGCGCCGATTCGTGCATTTTAACCCTCAGCAGTAGATTTGTCAGCTTTTGGGTCAACATATTGGTTACAACATTTGCTTCGTTGCACAATCAGAACATTCGAGAAAGGGAACTTCTGAAAAGCTCAAAGTTTCTCGAAAGTTCTGGAACAACGTTGATATATTTGGGCTTCTGGCATGACGAGTGTTGCATTGCATGAGCATGATTTTATTTGCATGAATGGTGTTCTTTATCGCATGCTTCTATACCATTTGTTTTTATAAATGTATTGTGGAATGAGGAATGCATTTTCAGCACGGTTTTGAGTATGTGCATTTTCAGATGCTACGTTTGGTGGTGACGGAATACAATGTATTAAGTCATGCGACGACGGCGCAACAGGGGGCTCGTTTTATTTGTAATTAGAGATAACTGGGTTTACAAATACTATTTTATTATTTTCAAAGTTTAGGTATAACTAAGATAAAAGTTCACAGGCAATTTTGTAATTTTTTTTTATTTCTGCTTAAATACAGGTTGGTCCAAAACCCATGACCCTCTTTAAAGGTTATTGAAAATGATTAGGGACACATTACAAAATTAATTATCAAATTCAAATTAACTTTACATATTTTATTGAAAAACAATGCTTTCTACTATCTACATAAAAACTATGAAATATAAACCTACGACACGTAATTTCAAATCGATGGGCACATGCCATCAGAATTGCTTAACTACGCTTTGTGAAGTCACGGAAGTTAGGCAATTCGAACCACCACGGATTCCCGGATGGGTGACCGTCTGGAAATCCCTTTTACTAACGGCACTGAGCCCCTGGCAGAAGGGATAAATGGTATCGACTGACCGCGACGTTACGAGGCATACAATAAATACCTTAACGGAGGACTACTGCGTAGTATAGATTGTCAATGCTCAAAAAGGGCTAAAGAGATGTGTTGCGATAGACGTAATAAATAAAAAATATGACAATACAGTTGCCTTCGTGACTTTTGGTCCGGCTATTAATGAGAACGCGTGCGTCCAGATGGTGAGAGTAGGTTGGGTGGGGAGGGGGGTGTTGCGCCGGAGCCGCATGGCGGAACGCGCGCCGTGGCCCCGTCTAACTTGTCTCGCCGCCGCTTCGCAGCGCCGCCGTCGCCGCCGCCCGCGCGCGAGGACCCGTGCGTGCCGTCGCCGTGCGGCGCCAACGCGCGCTGCCGCCTGGACCGCGCGGGCTTCGCCGTGTGCGAGTGCCTGCCCGAGTACCAGGGCAACCCGTACGAGGGCTGCCGGCCCGAGTGCCTCGTCAGCTCCGATTGCGCCATGCACCTGGCGTGCATCCGCAGCAAGTGCCAGGACCCGTGCCCCGGCACGTGCGGCGTGGGCGCGCTTTGCTCCGTCACCAACCACATCCCGGTGTGCTCCTGCCCCGAGCGCACCACCGGAGACGCCTTCCGGCTCTGCACGCCCGTGCAAGGTCAGTCAACGACTCCTCATTTAACGCGCGGATTCATTTCTTTAATTGACGCGTTTTTCACACACTTTTTACTTTACTAAAGAACGAACACGAGTATAAAATTAAAAACAACACCGAACTGTAAATGTCAAAATATCTACGACCTTTTTCTTTCATATTCCCTTTGAACGTGTAAAATGTTTCTCTCTTTCAGCTCTTCAAATTGATACTGTTTTAATTTTAGAAAAATATATTGTATATTATTTCTTTCGCGTCATGCAATTCGCCGCAAGGTCAATATGAAAGTCTAATTTAATATAAATTTCAACTTCAGTTAAGTTATTTCGCTTAAAGACGCTTTCTACTATATCCTCCATTGCACAAATTATTTCGAATTGATATTATTTTTTGTCAGGATCAACAAACATTTTTAAATTTTAATAGTGAAATATGCCTTTTTAATGAATGTGATTACTTGATATCGTGAAATCATAAAATATGTTAAAAACTAGTTTAAAAACTAAAAACTAATACTAAGTAGTTACTCATGAATATTTATAATCTAGAATTAATAAGCCTTAAACTTATTTCTAGTCCTCCGCGTATCTTCTAGAATTTGCGCTTGTAAAAGTCCGTAAAAGAACAACTCCTATTACCCATTCCAGCACGACTATGTAAATTGCGAAATGGGCAGATATTTCGGATGTTATATTTTTCATTTGTTCAAAAAGCTTTATTAATTTGTTGACTTATAAACTACAAACTTGTCTTGGAATTATTAATACTTTTATCTATCTTTTGTTAAAAACAAATGAGATAAAAAATAACGAAAACTATTCAAAATTCCCCGGTGTTAAAATATCCCCTCCCCCCGTTTTCCACACATAAATTATGTATTTTGCATTGAAGTATCCGTGAGCTATAAATCTGCCACAGTAGCATGCTCACAAAGTATGAAAAAGAAAAGTCCAACGTGTTGAGAGAGCCGGCGTGCCCCTGCCCGCAGAGCCCGCGCCCATGGACCCGTGCCACCCGTCACCGTGCGGGCCCAACTCGCAGTGCCGCGCGCAGAACGGCAACGCCGTGTGCTCGTGCCTGCCCACGTTCCTGGGCGCGCCGCCGTCGTGCCGCCACGAGTGCGTGCTCAGCGCCGACTGCCCGCGCGACAAGGCGTGCGTGCGCAACAAGTGCCAGGACCCGTGCCCCGGCGCGTGCGGCTACAACGCGCGCTGCGTCACCGTCAACCACAGCCCCGTGTGCTCGTGCCCGCCCGGCCTCACCGGTGACCCCTTCACCGCCTGCAGAGACCTGCCACCCGGTGAGTACCCGCGCCGGCGGCCACGAAATTAAACCACATTGCGACTTAACACTTTATAGTCGTTCGTAAGTTCATATTTCATATTGAAACCACTACGTAAAATCCGCTCCTTTAGGATTTTTTTTTCAAGATATCCCGTCTTTTATGTGTATATTATACATGTTATCATTCCACTTTTATAGTGCATACTATTTTTTTCATTAATAGAAATTCAAATTTTGGTTATCATATTCTATTACGTTTTATCCCAGGCTGTTAATGATAAAATATTGATGATAAAATACTGAATTCCGATTTGTTAATAATGGTGAAATTACGACTCTTCCAACTGCATACTTTTTAAGTCTGTACGGAATAATCAAAATCGAATGTCTAAAAAGAAATCTTCAGGCGGCAGAGTGCAATGTACGGAGCATTCCGTGCGGGGCGTTCACAATGCAAAAGAGTGCCGTTGCTCCGCTGCGCGTCGCGGGCCCCGAGGCGAAGCCCTGGGCGGCGGAGCGGCGCGGACAGCAACCGGTCGCGCGAGCGCCGCTTTCAGAGAGGCCGTGTGGTCGCTTTCCCAAATCGGCAACGGCCTCGTCAAGCCAGTTAGGACTTTACTGAATACGTAAATGCTAAAATAATCGCCTTTTGAACCCCGAAACGGGGAAGGAAGGGAGCCATGAATTCTCGCGTCCTGCACTCGACAGGACTTACAAATTCGGTGCCTCAAAGCGACCACCACGTCACCCGAAGGAACTCTTAACCATGGGGTATTAAAAAGCTTATTTCGCACGCGACGGAAAAAAATAATATTTCAGGAAGAGAAACTACTCAAACTCACACTATAATTCGAGATTACGATTCAATTGGAGTTTAGGCATGCCATTGTTTTAACGTTTTTGTCAGCTTGATGGATACGAGTCTTAAGAACATTTTGATAGGTAAAAGCACAAAACAGAAATGGAGATAACCTGTTCACTAGCCCCCCTCCGAGATAGATCTGCCTGCGAACGTGGGCGTGGGCGTGAGAGTGAGCGCGAATGTGCGCATGCGCAGAGTCGCCGCCCGACCCGTGCGCGCCGTCGCCGTGCCGCGCCAACGGCCAGTGCCGCGTGGTCAACGGCGCCGCCGTCTGCACCTACCCCGAGTGCGTCATCAACGCCGACTGCCCCAGAGACAAGGCGTGCTTCGCGCAGCGCTGCCGCGACCCGTGCCCCGGCGCGTGCGGCCTCAACGCGCTGTGCAGCGCCGTCAACCACGACCCCGTCTGCTCCTGCCCGCCCGGCTACTTCGGCTCGCCGCGTGTCGAGTGCAAGCTGCAGCCCACGCAGCAGGAACGTGAGTACACACATCCTCTCTTCCTTTTTTCTTTTGATACTCTGGTCTCTACCCATATGTTGCAGTTGAGCAATTAATGCAAGTCAGGGCAGGGTTTACTTAAAACGGATATAGGTATTACATCTCTCATTTGAAAATATTTTTATTGTCTTAACTACTGCTCTTTAAAAATTGAATGGGATAAGCAATTAATTTTATTAGTTAAATGAAGGGAATGCAAAATGTTAAAACTGACGTAATTCTCGGAATTTAAGCCAAGAACAAGTTGAAATATAGTTAGCCATCTACCAACACACCGCGTAGCTCTAATCGCATTTTATTTTTCAGAACCATATGATTTTTAAACAGAGAGTTTTACTCAAAGTGATGCGTGAATATCCTACAGTGACTTCTTTCAGTACGTTAGCCACGATTATACGTATTTCAAAGTAACGGTTTGATTTTAACGAGTTAATTAGAATAATAAATAGTAGGTATGAAAATGATCGTCGATCACTTACCAAAAATAGGATGATGTGGAAGTAATAAAGTTAAAATGATTTAAATCTACACAGCACAGTATAGTGTATTTTACGCATCATATGTAGTTCCGCTCGAGTGAACAAGGACAATTAAATGAGTCAGGGGGATGAATATCCGTCAAACGTTTCAGTCGGTGTAAGGGACTGAAGATACCAGTTATATACGTACTTCAGGCTAACATTTCTCTCCTTTTCGCTCTGCACAGACGGATAAAAATAAAATTCATTGACTTTAAACTGCTGATAACCATACTAATAGAAACTCCTTGGGTATGCAGATTCCTTGGCAGTAAAAAAATAGCAAGAAGAATGTGTCTATAAGGAATGTAGACAGTGCCTAATCAACTTTTTCTTTTCTTACTAAGACAGTTAAGTTTAGCTGAGTTATTGTCTGACGTGGATCCGTGTGTGTGCGCAGCGCCGCGGCCCGAGTGCGTGGAGAACGCGGACTGCACCAACGACAAGGCGTGCCTCGAGGGCCGCTGCCGCGACCCGTGCGCCGCGCAGCCCAACACGTGCGGCCGCAACGCCGAGTGCCGCACGCAGCTGCACCGCCCGCTGTGTTCCTGCCTCGAGGGCTTCACCGGCAACGCGCACACGCACTGCTTCGAGAGTGAGTACATCAAGATTACATTACCATTGCCTTTGATGCCACTCTAAACGGGACTTACTACGCAGTGGCGTAACGAAATGGGAGCGGGACCGCCCGCAAAACAGTTATCCAGGCCTGGTACCAACAGAAGTAGTGTTAGGACCTTAAATATCCCTTCAAAATAAACCCTCTTTTACCGGGGCCCGCCAGCACTGGGGGGCTCGAACGTAACGCCGATGTTCCTAGGGTTTGAGTCCCGATGGTGGCACGTTTTGCACACTAGCTAAAAAAACACAGCTAACCGCCGCAGTTTCCTGTTCTACATGCTAAACAACGCGCAAATAATCAGCGCATACATTCAAAAGCAGCTCTTGAAGAAAGCGGTGAATGGCGCCGTGACAGCAGGTTTCCTTTGTCTCCGGCGAGATCTTAGAAATAAATTCGCTCGCTCCCCGGAAGCGAGAGCTACCCGCTGCGCAACAGCCTGGCTTCCGCGAGGGCGCGCGAGCCGTGACGAAGCAGCCCCCCCCCCCAAAGCACCGTTAGCATAACCGCAGTCTCACGGCCAAATGAATGGGTGAAAAGCAGAACGGTATAAGTAATATTTTATGAAATCTGAGAAAAACGTGTCTATTTTACGCTACACATCAGTGGAAATGCATTATCCTGGTTTTAATGAACAATTGAAATGCCATGGTTTGAATGATGAAACAAAGCACCACGATTTTACTGCTTGACTTATGATATTGACACATAAACGAGTGATATTGACGTAAATAAAAAGATTTCTCAGAATTTATGAAATGTCACTTATACCTTTCTGGTTTTCAGCCATTCAAATAGTCTCCCACACCCCCTTCTACCCGCATAGTGCGCCAGAAAAGCCACACCGCTAGCAACACAATTTATGTTGGGAGCATGAGCTGCAGTTTGAAACAAACGAAAAAGTACAATGCGTACTCTCCAAAATCATAACAGATGCTATAAATGTTTTCCCCTTCACTTGTTTCCCAGTGACTTTGTTGCAATTTTGCCCAATGCAATTTTAAATAGGAGGTCTTCATTCAATTGGTGCAGAGAGACTTTCCTAACACACGTACAAACAAGGATAGTATTACGTAGGAGTGTTCTGCATGCCAGTGTATGCTTACGGAGCACGTTCTTCCAGTCATTGAGACCTTACAATCAATTACTAAATTTACGTCTACAATTACGCAATCAATTGTTCTAACCCCCACTAAATACACCTAGTTAGGATGTTTTACCTTGAGTTATACCTATTAAATTTTTTTGAAATTCCTTCATTCTGTTTTTTCCAATTTTAAACAATATTATTTGTATCATTCATTTTAATCATAAAAAGTTACCAAAATGAAAATAAATTGATTAATACAGTATATCCTCCTGTCTTCGGGATAATGCCATGGAATATAATCCACCGCAAATTGAAAACCCTAGATATTCAAGCCTAGTATAATCTGAGATATGGTTCATAGTTATCACAGGGCTTTCCCCGACCCTGTAAGTACATATTACAATTGAATTTGCTGAAATATTAATCAGTTATTTTTATGTTTACATTAACTCTTTCTTTTCCTTTTCTAATTTCCCGTCATCAATTCAGGATTAATTTCCAAATCAAAATATTAAATGCACGAAAATTAAATCATCCAAGGTGTGGAGGTTATAACTCCGTTCATTATTTCGATTCATCCATGACCACTATTTCCGTTATGGTACGGACTCCGGATAATTGTATTGCCCTGTAAGTAAGCGTGGCGTGCGCGCGCGTTGCAGTCGGGTGCCGGTCGGACTCCGAGTGCCCGCCGGAGCAGGCGTGCGTCAACCGCGCGTGCGCCGATCCGTGCGCGTCCACGCGCTGCGGCCTCAACGCCGAGTGCCGCGCCGACACCTTCCACCGCGCGCGCTGCTACTGCCTGCCCGGTCACCGCGGCGACCCGTGGACCCGCTGCGACCGGCCGCAGTGCACCGACGACGCGCACTGCCCCGACAACCTGGCGTGCGTGGGCGAGCGCTGCGAGAACCCCTGCGTGTGCGCGCCCAACGCGCTGTGCTCCGTGGCGGCGCACCGCCCCACCTGCCGCTGCCCGCCCGGCTACACCGGCAACCCCAACACGCTCTGCGTGCTCGGTGAGTACCGCCCGCTCAAGCACTTACCCAAGCCACGCTCAAGCACTTAATCATGTATTACGCACACACATACAACTCAGCGCTACTACTTGGTTTGGTACAAAATGTAAGGAAAGTCATTATTCGCTACCTTATATCTGATTTTTCTTCGTGCAACTAGTATTTCACACTCCCCTTCTTGCACAAGCTCATTTACGTGTGTTGTATTTGATTCCAATAGAGTCTTGCTAGATACTTGCACTAATTTAGTCCTGAAGTCTTCTTAAATACAAAATAAAAAAATATTTTGGAAGCGATGTTCTCATAATGCACATTTCTGTTGATGATGACTCTTTTGAACGACTACTTTATGACAATGCTAATCCATTTTAATTGCATAATCAGGGTCAGTAATACACTATAAATTGATCAGGAGTGCATCGCAAATATTTCTACATTATTCAACAGTAGTGCGCACTAATAAATATATTATTATTGTTGTTAAGCTTCGCATAAATTTGATACAAAATGAATTTTTAGTACTCACGTAATTATCATTTGCCTGCGGTGTTGACAGTATGTTGAAAATATTTCCCAAGACGAATGTCCGCACGTCACATGAAAGTTACCTGGAATAAAACAAGATGAAATATGAATTATATTAATATAATAACCTTGTTGTGAAATCTAATAATTTCATTCAAAGTATATTGCAATAAGCTTACAAAAGGATTCAGTTGTTCTAATTGAAAAATGTTTAAAAACAATCATACTTCCAATTACACACTTAGCTATGAACAGAAACACAGAAACAAGTTCTATACACATTTTCGACGGGTATTTTGTTTCTTCAATTTGTCTTACAAATTGCTTGAACCTTCTATCAATAATCATATTTTTTTACAAATTAATTTGGACGCTTAATATTTTAAAAATAAAATCATAAATATACATATGTATAATACATTTATTTTATGTATAAAAATCCTATTTATCCATTCTAAGTGATGTAGCAAAAAATCCTATTTATTCATTCTAAGCGATGTTGCAAGAAATATTTGGAATTAAAAAATAATTAAGAAGAAATTTAAAACTAACAATTGCTTTATTTTGATCTAGCTCCGACGCCACCACCACCACAATGTACAATGGATGCGGACTGTGCAAGCAAACTTGCTTGCTTCAGTGGCAAATGCAAGAATCCATGCGTTGAAACTAAGCCGTGTACAGCCAATGCAGAGTGCATTGTTGTTGACACACTGCCTCTCCGAACGATGTCCTGCCAATGTCTACCAGGTTTTGTAGGAGATGCAGACGTGGAATGTAAACCAGGTATGATTTGTCTCTTTTTGATTACAGTAAATCATTAATTTCAATTATATATTCTCAGCATTATTAATTAAAATTATGTACTAAAGCATAATTTCAAGTTTCTGATTTAATTTAAAGTTTTCTGTTAGAATTTCTGATGGCTGAATTTATAATGGCTCATTTTGATTAAAAAATGTTGGTTCCGCATTGTTGTGAGGAAAACTCATTTCAAATGTTGTGGGTTCGAAGAAATGAAAGTAATATTTAATAAATGGGAGTAAAAAATGTCTTTTTTACAATTATTGCTCATTAAACGGAAAATGTGTTTTCATGCAATAAAAAAGAATGTTTTTATTGATACACCTCAACTATGATTCGCACAAGTCTAACTACATTAACTAGTTATCTGAACAAGATTGCATTCGTATACCTATGGTATACATGATTTTGTTGAAAAAGTTCGCCGAAAGAAATGTGCATGTCAAATACCTGGAATTTAAAACTATTAATAATGGTTGTTTAACAAAAATAGTAATGGCGTACATCTTAGATTCGATTTTGTTAGTAATATTGAAATTTATGGGATTAACAAACGATTTTTTTTAAATAATTACGCTAAATGGAAATGACTGAAGACGCCTGGTCATTAGATTTTTTGATCTGATGCGCGTCGTCTTTCATTTTCATTTTCACATGTGGGCTTACGGTATTTTAGAATCGATTGGTGTAATTAACTAACAATGATGATAAAATGTTTCCAATTATTCCTTTTTAATATATTGTCAACAACTAACAGAACTAATAACTACTAACGCTGCAATATTTGAGCTATTTTACAGGTCACTCATCACTCTTCAGGTGCTGATCACTACTAACCCCATAACTCCTTTACCCAATACCTAACAAAACAGCAACATACCTATAATATGCTTAACAATAATGCTTAACTAAATCTTTATTAATTCTTTAAACAGTAAAAGTTCTTAAAGTAATTTTCCCATTAAATAAGTAATTAACACTAAGATGTTTTAATTAACCTTTTGTAAATTGTAGTTTTGATATAACATTCCGCTTACCTAACAGTATATGTATTTCTTTTATTATTACCAGAAACCTCTAATGGTAATATTTTAATTTTCAGCACCTACAGAACTTCCAGGATGTAAGAATGACAACGAATGTCCTGACAACAGCATATGCCTGAACAGACAGTGCGTGAACCCATGCCTTATATCCAATCCTTGTGCAAGTAATGCGGAATGTCGAGCTACCAACCACAGAGCCACATGTACTTGCCCCGCTGGCTTCATGGGCAATGCATTTATCAATTGTTACAAACGTGAGTAAAATGCACATCTCAAGTTCTTCAAAATATTTGTTTACTTCAACGCAAATAAATTATCTTCGGCTTTCTACCTTCACAGCGCAACAAGACCAACCTGAATGCACCAGCAACTCCGACTGTGCCTCCGACAAAGCCTGCATCAACCAGCGCTGCCTGGACCCATGCGTGGTTAACTCCCCATGTGGAACAGGAGCGAAATGTAGAACGATCAACCACTTCCCAACCTGCTATTGTCCAGACGGATGGGGAGGCAATCCTCAAGTTCAATGCTACAAACGTAAGTGTCTGCATGATACCGTCACGATTAATTTATCAAGGTATTAAAAATGTAATTATATCATAGAATTTTAATTTTGTGTTTTAGTATTCTCTGATATTTATGAAAAAGGGATGTATGTCAGAGGCGTAACGATAATGGGATTCGCATTTTAAAAACAATGTGTCATTTTATATTTATTATCACGTTCATTATTTTTCTCTTATGAAATAATAAAACGAATTAAATTGTTGGGAATTTAAAAAAAAAGTTTAATGATATTTGGAATTAGATAAATCGAGTGCCAGGTCAATAATCTGTAAAAACTGCAACTATCTGTAAGTTATTCGTCTTATCGATAAATTAGATTTAAGATGAAATATTATATTTCCTGTAATTATATTAAATTGCATCAGACAAATTATTATTGAATAGTGAGTCCGTTGCACTTTAGATGCGTTCTTAATGCATGGGACAAGGCAGCAAGTAATAAACATCAGCACTAGCAACGAAAACAGAGATCTGGAAAAGTCATGGGTGAACGAACGGGGCGCGGAGCGACGCTGGCGGGCGGGGGGAGAGGTGACCGTAAGGGGTGACCGTCGTGTTGCAGCGGAGTGCTCGGTGGACGCGGACTGCGTGTACGACAAGGCGTGCATCGGCGGCAACTGCCTGGACCCGTGCGCGCACGGCTCGGGCGGCGGCTGCGGGCGCGGCGCCGAGTGCGTGGCGCAGGCCCACCGTGCCCACTGCGTGTGCCCGGCGGGCACGCAGGGCGACGCGCTGCTCGCGTGCGTGTCCGTCGCGTGCCAGTACAACGAGGACTGCGCCGACCACGAGGCGTGCGACCGCCTCAACCGCGTGTGCCGGCCCGTGTGCGAGGACGACACGTGCGCCGACACGGCCGTGTGCATCGCCAAGGACCACCAGCCCACGTGCGTGTGCCCGCCCGGCACGTCGGGCAACCCGTACTTCGAGTGCGGCAAGGAGCGAACGCCCACGCCGCCGCCGGAGTGCACGCGCGACGCCGACTGCCCGCCACAGCTGGCCTGCGTGAGCGGCGCCTGTAGGAACCCCTGCACGTCCGCCACCTGCAGCCCCGACCAGGAGTGCCGCGTGCTGGACACGCTGCCGCTGCGCACCGTCATGTGTGTCTGCCCACCCGACACCGTCACCGACGCCTCCGGACGCTGCCGCGCCATCGGTGAGCAATTGTTTATGCCCTTTTCACAATCACATTCAGCAGGGGCCACCTTCTTAGACCTGCCTACAGGCGGTTACGACTCCCAGGGCCCTCTGTAAATTAACACGTCATAGAAGATCTTGTGGCAAGCGGAAAGCTTAATGTGCATATTTCACCCAATGTTTTCTGTTAACAAAGCCATTAAATATTAGTACTAGTTTTTAAAGGAGGTTGAGTGGTCCTCAGGATCGCCCTGAATAGAATGCAGCCCACCTCAGCTGTTCATCTTGTTAGCAAACGTGTGTCCTAACACTGACCCCGCCATTTAACACCGCGAATTTTCAAAACGAACAATTTTGAAGGATAATCAAATTTAAGAAAATATTTTGAAACCGCGAACCTCCCGATTTTGTCGGCTTTTCAAAAGCATTCGTGCAAAATGTGAGAGCATTCACTTCAATGATTCAAATGTTTTTATGAAACATACACTTAATCATCTATAAATAAAGACAACATAAACAAAATAAAAATAAATAAATGTATTAATGCTCATTAACATTAAAAGAAAACTTATTATATTCGTGTTATCTTCTTAAATTAAATTAAATGATTCGATTTCACATAAAAAACTTAAAACATAATGTCAAAATCATAGTTGTGTTTTCGTAAAATCAACATATAAATTTTGCAAAGACGAGAGAAACCGCGAAATATCTTTTTTGTATTCCAGCTTTAAAAATGACATTTTGGTTTACAAGAATTCTTTCATTAAACGACAACTTGCGACACAGATTATGACATATTTCTCGTTTATAGCGTAAGTGCGTTATCATACATTCAGCCAATCGTAGCAAGAGAATCGTAAGGGGATAGCGGTAAACGGAACAGCTACCGTCTTTTCGCACAGATGTCAAATTCCCTTGACGTCACAATAAAGTTATTTCCCAAAATTAACAAAAAATATATTTGCAACTCGTTTATAACGTAGCTTTATTTCATTCGTACAGATTCGAAAACCCGCTCCTAACGCCATTCGTTTTCTAAACGTGTGTTCCTGCAAATACATCTTAGCATTATAAACTAGATGTAGAATATACTATTTTGGAGAGACTGTGTAATTGGAGGACGTGTGTTTGTGTGGTGCGCAGTGCCGGTGCAGCCGCAGTGCCGGTCGGACGGCGACTGCGCCGACACCGACCAGTGCCAGCGCGGCAGCTGCGTGGACGCATGCCGCCACGCGCCGTGCGGCGTCAACGCGCTCTGCACGGCGCATGCGCACCGCGGGGTCTGCTCCTGCCCGCCCAACTACGTCGGCAACCCGCACGGCGAGTGCACACGAGGTGAGCCACACGCGCTTCAGCTTTGCCAAAGACACCACAAGACGAAATCTGATACTTACGAGACACAATTTTGTTCCCCTTTTCTTCTTTTTTTTCTCGTAAAAGAGTTTTCGTTAATTCTGTCAACTTACTTTTTTCAAGAGTTTTTTTTTTCTTTAATAGTAATGACGTTCGTTTTTAACGAGCTTTTTATACAAAAAGTACAATAGTAATTTCTACATAATATTATTATTTTGTGATGCTACAAAAGAAATCTCAAAGATAAAAATTCTCACGACAACAGAAATTACCGGATTGCCATTGACTGTCCGAGCGACGTTGCATCGGAGGCTAAGTCTGCAGGAAGTTTCTTTTAAGATGCAACAGTATTTTTATTCATTTTCAGAAAATATTTTCACTGATAATGTCACCTCACTTTTGTTCAAGAGTCATCTCCTTTAATGGGGAAGATCTTCCTATAGGGATATTTTAACAAACAAATCTTAAATCGAGAATGATTATTTTTTGGTGAGAATTGCTGTACAAGAATTCTCTTAGATAAATGCTCTCGCGACAGCAAAAATTATGTTTTGCCATTGGTTGCCAGAGCGACGTCGTATCGTATGATCAGCCCTGAGAAATCATTTTTTCTTGTTGGGGAAGCACCTCAATCCTTGTTCCCGACCAATCCTATTGGCGCGTGATTGAGGTTCAATATGTTGAGCGTGCGCCGTGTCCGCAGTGCAAGTGCGGCCGCCGCCGCCTGCGCCCGAGTGCCTGAGCGACGTGGAGTGCCCCAAGGACCGCGCCTGCATCCAGCAGCGCTGCCAGAACCCGTGCGTGGTGGACGCGCCCTGCGCGCGCAACGCCTTCTGCCACGTGCAGGACCATGTGGCCACGTGCCGCTGTCCCTCGGGCTACGAGGGCAACCCGCGCGTCGACTGTAGACCAGGTGAGTGCGCTTTGGGCGTCACAGAATGTGCAATGCGATGCGTCTCGCAATAGGAACCCCGCCCATCTGCCTAACCCATTCAGAAAGCACATTATAGATACTATGAGTGGAAAGTAAGATTTTTCCTTAACGCTCATGACATGATTACATCTCAAAATTAATTCCGATAATAAACATGATGCCGATGCAATACTTCAGACATTTCTTTACAAGTTACTACACTTGGTGAAATAATCATTTTTTTAATATTATTCTTATGCTCGTTATACTATAAAGTATTACGCATCGAAAGATATGTATGTAGGGTGAGCTGCCCAATTTATGAACAGTGGTTCATTCAAGGGGTTGTTTGAGGGTGGAATGTTGAACGTTCCCATATACACCTATGGGGCAAGGTTAGAGACGGATCGTGAAGGGAGAGAGGTGTGCCGGCTGACGCATGCGCGTGCGTGTCCACAGTGTCCCCGCCCGTGGGCTGCAGCTCCAACGCCGAGTGCTCGCAGCAGGAGGCGTGCGTCAACCGCGCCTGCGTCAACCCCTGCAACTGCGGCCCCAACGCCGACTGCCGCGTCAACGACCACTTCCCCATCTGCTTCTGCAAGCCGGGCTACTCCGGCAACGCTCTCGCTGGCTGCTTCAAGGGTGAGTACGACAACGACGCAGGGGGTGCTTGCAAATTAAAATCAGCACGCGAAAACGACCATGAAGGCGACGGAGAGAGGGAGACCGAGAAAAAGAAAGACCTTATTGAAAAGATAGCTTCAAAAATAGAGCACTTGACATTAAACCTACTCATTTTCAGGGCAATTTTTGAGAAGTTTTTGTGTTACTAACATTTACATTTTTTATTAAAAATAAAAATGTATTATTTCTCTCAGAAGACAGTGAAAATAATTTACAATATCAGTCTCATTGGTCTCTCTCATATTATATGCTGATAATTTTATAATAATTTCAATTGTTCAGTTCACTCATTCCCTATTTTTTAAAGTAATTTAACGCACAAATTTCCATTATTTTTTGTAATGAAAATAAATATGTACTAGTAGTAACCATTTTTGGAACGAATGAACGAAATCCACGAAAGTTGAACCGAGCTTCGTCGCTTGCAGTGGGCTGCCAGTCGGACGGCGAGTGCAGCTACGACCAACAGTGCTACAACGGCGAGTGCGTGAACCCGTGCCTGCTGGGCGCTCCGTGCGCCGTGACGGCCGAGTGCTACGGCGACGCGCACCGCGCCGCCTGCCGCTGCCCGCCCGGCTTCGCCGGCGACCCGTTCCGGCGCTGCGAGCGCGCCGAGTGCCGCGTGGACAGCGACTGCCCGCGCGACAAGGCGTGCCTGCAGCGGCGCTGCGTGGACCCGTGCGCCGCCGTGGCCGACCCGCCCTGCGCCGCCAACGCGCTGTGCTTCGCACAGAACCACGCGGCGGGCTGCCGCTGCCCCGAACACCTGCCGGCGGGCGACCCGTTCGCCTTCTGCGAGGCGCGCCCGCCGCCCGCGCACCGCCCCGAGTGCCGCTCCGACGTCGACTGCCCCTCGCGCCGCGCGTGCATCCGCGAGCGCTGCCAGGACCCGTGCGCCGTGCTGCGCCCCTGCCACCCCAGCGCCGCCTGCGCCGTGCTCGACTCCGTGCCCGTGCGCACCATGGTGTGCGAGTGCCCCGACGGCTGGGTACCCGACCGCGACGGCCAGTGCCGGCCCGTGCTGCTGCCCGTGCCGCCGGGCTGCACGGCCGACACCGACTGCCCGGCGACCGAGGCCTGCATCAGCCGCATGTGCCGCAACCCCTGCAACTGCGGCGCCAACGCCAAGTGCCTGGTGCAGAACCACCGGCCCGTGTGCTCGTGCGAGGAGGGCTTCGAGGGCAACGCCAACATCGCGTGCCACACCGTGGGCTGCCGCAGCGACTCGGAGTGCGACTCGGGCAAGGCGTGCGTCAACGGCCACTGCGTCAACCCGTGCCTCGTCAAGGACCCGTGCGGCGTCAACGCCGAGTGCTACGCCTTCGGCAACCGCGCCGAGTGCCGCTGCCGCTCGGGCTACCGCGGCAACCCGTACTTCCGCTGCTACGTGGTGGGCTGCCGCTCCAACAACGACTGCCCGGGCGACCGCGCCTGCGTCAACGCGCAGTGCGTCGACCCGTGCGTGTACGGCGACTCCAGCCCGTGCGCCCCGCGCGCGCAGTGCCGCGTGCACAACCACCTGGCCGTGTGCCGCTGCCCGCCGGGCTTCGTGGGCAACCCCTACGTGGGCTGCCGACCGGAGCCTCGACCCGAGTGCCGTGTGGACGGTGACTGCGCCTCTCGCCTGGCCTGTCTCAGCGAGAAGGTGAGAACTCGTCCCACAACACTAGTTGGAAACGACGGCCCAGTCCCGTCAAACGAATTCAGTCTTAATTAGGTTGAAGTAAATTTAAACGTAAATACTCTTAAACATAATACAATTGTTTTTAAGGTTTAGGCCGTTTCTTAATGGTTAGTAATATGTTGATGAAGTACCTCCTTTTATCATCTGCAGGTAATGTATTTTTTTTATCGCGTAAGGAAGAAATAAATATTTAGCTATAAATAGCATAACAAAAAAATATTCACAATTTTACTGAAACAAATAAAAAATTACACACTAACATAAAGTCACTTTATCGTCTTGTATAATGAAATACCGGACTGCAATTCGTTACATGAATAGGTATGACAATTCTCATTTAACTCGAGCGTGTATGTTTTTTGTTGCCCCGCCTGACGGGCGAGTGATCGTATTCTGAGCACGTGTATTTGTCTTATATTGAGAAAGAAGGCTTTCGCGGCCGGAGTGAGTAGCTTGTTGGCTGTCCGGGGCGTTTAGGACAGCCAGGTCGCAATTGTCTGATGCCGTGTGCCCCTCCGCAGTGCCAGGACCCGTGCGCCGTGCTGGACCCGTGCCGGCGCCCGGCCGACTGCGTGGTGGTGGCGTCGCTGCCCGTGCGCACGCTGGTGTGCGTGTGCCCCGGCGGCTACGTCAGCTCGGGCTCGGGCACGTGCAAGGCCACTCCGCCCGTGGTGGCCGTGGGCGGCTGCGTGGCCGACGACGACTGCGCGCTCGACCGCGCCTGCGTGCGCGGCGTCTGCAGAGACCCCTGCGCGTGCGCGCCCAACGCCGACTGCCGCGTGCGCGACCACAAGCCTGTGTGCGCCTGCAAGCCCGGATTCGACGGGAATCCCAACATCGAGTGTACGCAAGGTGAGTGCCGCGACCGCACGCTTCGGAAAAAGGAATCAAAGCGGAAGCGTACATACAATTTTGGAAACTGTGTTATGTTGGGGGTCGTTTCTGAATACCAAAGTGAAAGCATGGGTCAAAATATTTATAAAATTAAAATCTGAAAGAAAATAAAATATCTTGCCAAATTTTATGTTTTAAATTAATAAAATTTAAAAGTAGTCTCATTGGCTTTGAGCGTACTAAGGGCGATTCTTTCTCCAGAATCGTAGTACTCTGTGTAAAGCATCACTTCAGAACACGCAAACTTTGCAGCCTGTACTGTAATATACCAGATACCTCTAAAAACTGTAGTTCACTATTGGAGCTTTTTTCAAAGAAATGAATTAGGGAGTTTTTTGTGTAAAGCAATAACCAAATTACGTTGGTGAATAGTTTATAAAACAATATAATTAAAAAGAGAATAAACGAACGACTAATAACGATGAATAAACGACTAGTGATGCAACAGCATGGCACAATCGTTCTCGTACTAGTTCTCTATTATTTTGGACTAGGCTAGAATTCTACCGTCGCCCCAAGAGCATTTGTCTGACATTGTCCGTCTCGCAGTGGGCTGCCGCAGCGACGACGACTGCTCACCGCAGCACACGTGCGTGGGCCGCCAGTGCGTGCCCGCGTGCGCGCCCGACGGCTCCTCGTGCGGCGTGCTGGCCACGTGCTACGGCGCGCAGCACCGCGCCGTGTGCGAGTGCCCGCCGGGCCTGACGGGCGACCCGCGCTCGGCCTGCGTCGTGCTGGGCTGCCGCGCCGACACCGACTGCCCCAGCGGCCAGGCGTGCGTCAACGCCGAGTGCCGCAGCCCTTGCGAGGCCGCCAACCCCTGCGTGCCGCCCGCGCAGTGCCGCGTCTACAACCACCGCGCCGAGTGCGCCTGCCCGCCCGGCTTCGTCGGCGACTTCCAACAGGGCTGCGAGAAAGGTCACTATTGCCTGCTTTATGCGCAAAATATATACGCATCTGATTCACTCACACAGTTTAAATACTTTGACATAGGATGTTAACGTGGATTTTTAACCATAAGAGATTTTGAAAGCAACTTCAGTACCCAACAAAGTTAGGATAACTCACTCTAAATCCCAATAGAGTTACAGTAAAAGATGTATTTCACAATTACTCTACAATTAAAACCAATTCTGTTGGTCAAACAGCTAAGCCAAATAATTAAAAAGATATTATTCTGAGAATTATCGTGGAGAAGGAATAAAATAATTTAACGGAAAGAGAAGACAAGAAAGGAGAAACGGGAAAGAGGGTTTAAACAATTGGATATAAGGGAGACGATACAAATGGAAGCACGAGCTAGAGTAGACAGAATCTGAAAGCAGTTAGATGTTAAGGTCTATATTAAGATGAATCCACGCCCACTTTAAGCCTACCGACGTGGATATGAGCTAGAACCTCCGGCAGCCGGGAGGACCCTAGTCTTCCCCCACGATCTGCGGTGTTGACGTGTGGTGTCGCGTGATGTTGCAGTGGCCGGGTGCCGCGCGGACCACGACTGCCCGTCGCAGATGGCGTGCATCGGCGGCGAGTGCGTCAACCCGTGCAACGCGACGTCGCCGTGTGGCGTCAACGCGCGCTGCACCGTGCTCGACACTCGACCCGTGCGCACCATGATCTGCGAGTGCCTGCCCGGTTACCAGGGCAACGCCGCCGTGCAGTGCGACAAGTGTAAGTACCACAGCCGACGCTCGTACACGGGTCCCAGCGACTTTTATCTAGGCTTCCACTCCTGACGGCGGCTGATTTTCGACAAGAGCTGTATAACTAGGTCGAATTCTGCCGCTGTCTGGAGATTTGAAACGGCCGGTTGCCCTGATCGGAAATTTTCCGTGGCTTCTCCGATCAACACCAGGCGAATGCCGGAGTAGTACCCAAACAAACTGGCCACGGACCGCGCGCGATCTTTCCTTCCCCTTCCTAGTTTTATCTTCATCCCTTAATTTCACACACATACACTTACATGCATGCCACTACCACACATGTCGGGAGGCCAGTCGAGAGCTGTGAGCTTGTTCTGGCTGGGGCGGTGCCACGCTAGTGGGAGATACCTGGTTGGGGAAAACCCAGCTAGCCGACGGGTAGGTCGGCGCCGGATCTCACCATCTAGCGAGAGAAAATCACCGCCCCCTCCCGCAACAAAAACAACCCCCACACTTGATGTCCTAATGACCTAAGCCCGCTGAGTGAAGCGCGTGTGCGTGTGTGCGCGCAGCGTCGGCGTGCCCGGCGGAGAAGGGGCTGGTCCTGGACGCGGCTGGCCAGTGCGTGTGCGCGCCGGGCCAGGGCCTGAGCGACGCGGGCGACTGCCAGCGCTGCGACGAGGCCCAGGGACTGCGCGTGGACGAGCGCGGGCGCTGTGTGTGCGCGCTGGACCGCGGCATGGTGCTGGACGAGCGCGGGCGCTGCGTCTGCCCCACCGAACACGGCTACCGCCTGCAGGCCGGACGCTGCGTCAAGACCAGTGAGTACCCGTAATAACACCCCCTTCGATTCAGAGAACTACAAATCCAAAAACTGCCCCCCTTTAATATAGGACCTATTTAATAAAAGCTCCCATAGATCAGCGCGAAAGATTCGCAGCCTACACGGAATAACCGCAGTGGAAATTTCGCGTCACGTGTTGCCTAATGAGCACGTTCAGACCTGCGCGGCCGGCGAACGTTTCAGCAGCGGGTTGATATGCTTTGTGATCAAAACACTTAAACCAAAATCGAACTTAAAATATTTTATTGATCGTAACCAAACCCGGAACATTATTTGAAACAATTCTTGTGAAAAACAATATTTGTGAATGGAGTTTCTTCCATTATTCTGTTTAAAAAAAGCCGGTCATTTGCCCGCAGCCGGCGACACTCCGGAGTGCGAGGTGGACGAGCACTGCCCCGACTACCGCTTCTGCAACCCCAACTCCAAGACGTGCGACGACCCCTGCACGGCCAACTCGTGCGGCGTCAACGCCTTCTGCAACGCCACCAACCACCAGGCGCACTGTCAGTGCCTAGTGGGCTACACCGGAGACCCCTCCGTCTACTGCAGTGAGTGCCACATCTGACACCGGATGCGAAGCGCAACTTTAAAGCAAAAAGAATTAATAAGGAGCGGCTCTTAAGGATTTCACTACCATGAGATAAATTATAAATTACTACGGTTAAAGGCTTCTTCATTCCAATGAAGTTCAGTATTTCATATATAATTTGTAAGCTACAGTATAAAACAATGCGTATGGTTGGGTACATAATCATCTTTCTAGTTCTTTGGCAATTGAGCATGGGGTTCCACAGGGTTCGATCTTAGGCCCTATCCTCTTTCTTTTTTTGCGTAAACGATATGCCCTTGTCCATTAGAAATGAAAGAACAGTTCTATATATTGATAACACGAATGTTCTTTGCAAAAAATAACTATAAGAAACTATTTCAGTTAATGAAATCAGATTTCGTGGTAACAAATAGTAAACGAAATAAAACTGTTTCATTACAGTTTTGCATTTCAAACAGACAATTGCAGGCCCCCTTGAAACTGATTAATGTGCAAGTGGTTCATGTTTAAGTAACAAAATATTTGTGTCTCTCAACTCAGTCAAATCGCAAATGGAATATCCATGCACATGAGTTGAACACTAAATTAAGTTCAAAAGATACGCGCTCACAATTCTTTCAAATTCAGTCAGCCATTATACTGCTCGTACTGTATATTTTGCGAATATAGTTCATTACCGTCTGAGATATGGCACAATATTCTGGAGAAGAACATCGTATTCCACAATGACTTTCAGACTGCAGAAAAACATTCTACAAATATCAAGCAAATGCCATCTACGTGATTCCTAGAAGCTCCTATTCAAAAAGCTTGGAGTCTTAACATTGTCTTGCCTTCGTATTCATAAATCAGTCGTATTTTTTAAAAACGAAATTTGGGATGGAACCATATTTTCATGAGGTACAGATATTTACAATTACAGCACTCGTCGTAGGAATCATATTTGTGAGGTGGCAGTATCAACAGCTAAAGACAAGGAAGCCACATATACTACTGTACGTTAACGAACTTCCTAAACTGTAACGCAATTTGAACGCCAACTCCAGCGAAAGGATAAACGAATTTACCAACTTTCTTTCGAAGTCAGTTCATCGGTATTTCGTCTCGATTTGTAATTAAAGTAGAAGCGGGTGGGGGTTGTTCCTGGCTCCCTTGTGACGCCCGTCCCGCCTCGGCCGTTGCAGACATGACCACCAACTTCCGCACCGACTTCCCGCGGCCCGAGATGGAGGTGAGCTGCCTGTCGGACGGCGTGCAGGTGCAGATCCACATCGCCGAGCAGGGCTTCAACGGCGTACTGTACGTCAAGGGCCACAGCAAGGACGAGCAGTGCCGCCGCGTCGTCACCATGCCGGCCAGCGCGCCCATGCGCACAGAGGTCTTCAAGGTCAACTTCGGCAACTGCGGACTCATCCACGTCAACGTAAGTAGCTCTCACCACGATGTCACTACCGTAAGTCTAATAGCCGAACCGACGATGGATGAGATGTTTTGAGAGCTGGACAGTGTATGTACTAAGTTTTTAGCTCTGAAATAGACACTAAATACAAATTTTACATTATCGCCCCTCGCTGTCAGTGATTTAAAAAATACTTTATAAGCTCGCTCGAAGATATAAGAAAGTTTATGCTTTTCAAGAGTTAATCATTTCCTGTGAAAGTAAATGTTTGGGTACTTTAGTACCCATACGTCGTAAAACAGGCAAGTAAATACATTTGTACACCAAAAAACTCTAAAATATGTATTTTACAGAATATGAATTTTTTCTATATTGAATTCATTATTTTCACGTGAAACTTAGAGATTTTCAATTTCAGAAATAAATAGACTATAACTACAAAAATTAAGTTTCATGAACGTCCCAATTACATAGTGACGTCAATTAGGGCAAACAGTGGCATGAGGAGCAGGGGAAAAGGGAGAACCCCAACAACGTCCAGTAGGTTTACCGCGAATCCATTTTGCCCTCAACAAATTTATCAAGGGAAAACCAGGATCTGAATCTGGGACTTACAGTATCGGCAGCATATAAGCGACTCTCACAGTTCGACGCACAGTTGCCACACATTACTCTGCACATGCTAACTCCTACATTACAAAAAAATTAACACTTGCTGACAGGCACTGACACGTCTTGATATCATGTTCATAACTTTCGCCAAAGCCGAACCTTAATGACTCCGCAATTTCGTGCGAGTCAGATGAGCGGCCACACTGAACGCTGGCTGTGAGAAAGTAAAACAAATCCTCGCAGGCCGATTGCTTCAGAGGAGGTCACATGACGTACCACACGGCACGTGGCGAAAGCACTGTCATGGTCGCTTATTCGTAACCGGAACATTAGACGTGGAAATCCAGCGGGCGGACCGTTGCGTAGTGCACTCACGAGCGAGACACAGGCGAATTTTAAAAACGATTAGAATGCGGAATCTCACAATCCATTCATACTTTTCTTCATTTTTTCTCTTATTGGCCACTCTTCTTCCCCACAGGGCCAGGCGAGCTTCGTGCTGGTGATTCAGAAGCACCCCAAGCTGCTGACGTACAACGCGCAGGCGTACCACATCAAGTGCGTGTACCAGACCTCCGAGCAGAACGTGACGGTGGGCTTCAACGTGTCCATGCTGACGACGGCCGGCACCATCGCCAACACCGGCCCGCCCCCCACCTGCATCATGCGCATCGTCACGCAGACCGGCCAGGAGATCAGCGCCGCCGAGATCGGAGACAACCTGCAGCTGCAAGTGGAGGTCCAGCCAGCCAGTGAGTGCCTACCCACTCTCTTTCCAGCCATGCGACTACCCCCCAAACAGTTTTCTCTTTACGACATCCAGATCAATACGATTTTTCAAAAGCAAAACATTACAAACAAATGTAGTTTTATTGATTTTGTTTAACTCAAAACCTGTTATGAAACAGGAACATAAAGAATTATTCACATTAGCACAAAAGTGCGTATTTTATGAAATTGGTCACACTGTGACAGAGCTAGTTAAACCATTTAATTCAGGAAACCACTAAAAGTCACAGTGAGATGTATCTCCATTTCATGTTTTTTAACTTAAGAACTACAAATATTTCCTTCAAAGTTCCTAAAAATGAGAGAGTTAGTTGTTTCAACAGCTATATTGTTTTACTTATAACTTTATAATTTATTAGAGAACTAGTTACTGAAAAGTTAAATCCAATGGCTTTGTATCATAATTTATAAACGAGTAAAGCTATTGTTTTTAATTTTTCCAACGATTGAAGAAAAATGAGTTTCTAAAAGTTCACTTTCGTGGCAGAAACCTAAATACAACAGAGCTAGTTGTGCGAAACAATAAGAAATATCTTTACAGACATGTTAAAAGCATTTTTTCTAAAAGCGAACAGATAATAGATAAGTACAGTGGCAGTCGCAGATACCTTGGGGTACTCCATAATACAAATTGATAAACAATCAAACTGCAAATATGAAAATGTCCCGTCCCCCCGCAGGCATCTACGGCGGCTTCGCGCGCAGCTGCATCGCCAAGACGATCGAAGACAACGTGGAGAACGAGTACGTAGTGACGGACGAGAACGGCTGCGCCACCGACCCCACAATCTTCGGCGAGTGGGGCTTCGATGCGTCCGCGCAGACGCTCGAGGCTAGCTTCAACGCCTTCAAGTTCCCCAGCAGCGATAACATCCGCTTCCAGTGCAACATTCGCGTCTGCTTCGGCAAGTGCCAGCCGGTAAGTGGACACGCCCCGCGCCGCACGCCTTCCAAGGCGCCGGATCAACGCAACTTCGTCGAGACCGGAGTATAGTACTGATTTCTTCCGAGTAACTGTCGATCCTGATAAGTAATGACACTTTGTAATTACAGATGAAACTACTTTTTGATCTGAAATGGAGGCAAAGATTTTTTTTTTATATTTGCCGATCAGATGGTCGAGATCGCTAAGGCACTAGTGCTGTAGCGGTCTTGGACCGAAGGATCGTGGGACCGTGTCCCGCCTCGGGCGCGGGTACATTTGTATTTGTTTTTATGTGTGTGTCATCCTCTGACCACTCATAATCAATATTATTTCATTGTCCATACCCCCAGGGCTAATAACCCTGGGGCGTAAAATGTAATCAGCGAAAATGCTGACCCCCCTAATAATGTTTCATGTGCACACCCCCAGGAAAGAATATGACTAGGCATTGGTGGGTATAACTGTACGTTCGCGTCGTCTGTAGAAAGGCCAATTTGCGACGAAAAAATAATCATATTTATCCACATTAGTGCACACTATCATTTCAAGCTTTTCCAGCACTTTTTAAAGTGAATTACATTGCTTAGGGAAATGCGAAGTTTCTCTCTTAGTGAAAAATATCTGATCAATGATATGTCTCCACGGTTTCAGAATACGAAAATTATGCATGTATTACATCTGCGAAAGTTCAACTATTGATCAGTACATTATAAGGGTATATAATAAGGAACGTGGGAAAGAGACAATTCTGATGTTTGATGATCTTTTTTTCTAGAAAACTTCGAGTTGTAATACAAAAGTTCTCATTGTTTTACATTATTGTAAGAAGTAACTTCGTCAGAAAATAAAAATTAATATGAGTAAAATATCCAATGAAAAAGACATTTTATTCTTCGCGGAAAATAGCATAACATTTTATAACTGGAAAAGCGTTATTTAACTTTGTAAGTGATCCCCTAGAGCCCCATCTCGACCAGGTTTCTCGTCCAGTTTCCCTTGATCTATTGAGCAAATATAGAGATATCCCCTTGTTTTGCTTCTCGACATAAATGTAGCGAGACTACTGTTCACGTAATTTTGAGATCAGTGAGACAAATAGATATTCAAATAATCGTTCCCATATTCTCGCGGCAGTAATTAGATTTCTGCACGTAGGACACGATAAAGGAAAACAACGGAAGCCTGTAGATTATATGCCGGCGGAATAATTTTTTTCTTGCACGGGAGCGAACGAAATTTTACCAAAAACGCCCGTTGCTATTTGCATTCATAATATTCCACTCGACGCAGCACATGAGTCAGAGTAGGGAGCCCAGTTCTAAGCGATCGCCCGTCCCCCTGCGCAGGTGAACTGCCGCGGGCGCGACGCCTTCGGGCGCCGGCGCCGCGACGTCGCCCTGGCGCCCGCGCCCGCGCGCCGCAACGCCACCGACGTGGCGGTGGCCGAGGCGGTGTTCGAGGGGCAGCTGCGCGAGGAGATCACCATCCAGTCCAACGCCATCCTCACCTTCGAGCGCAAGGAGGAGCGCTACGTCGACCCCACGGAAGGTCAGTTTTTATACAGCACGGGCGTGCACGCAAAATGAGGCCAAAGTAGTCACATTTACGTGACCTTATTTCAAAATCTATCTTTAAGGAACAAATTTCATTAAGGGAAAAATGTCAGGAAAAATTGTACATGACCTTATTTCAAAGTCTATCTTTCAGGAGCACTTTCATTAAGATAAAATATCAGGTATTTGCGCCTGAAACTGTTTTTGTGTGTGCCTGTGTAATTAAAGAAGCAGTGCTTTGTTTCCTCCTTCGTAACGCGTGTGTGTGTGCGTGCCCGCAGCGCCCGACGTGCAGCGCGTGGAGGACATCTGCGTGTCGATGATCGGCTTCATCATCGCGCTGGTGATCACGGCGCTGCTGGCGCTGGTGGCCGTGGCGGTAGCGGTGTCGTGCTGGCTCATGGCGTACCGGCGCCGGCCCAAGACCACGGGCCCGCTGCCGCACCCGCCGGAGTTCCCCAACCCGCTCTTCACGACGCCCGAGCCCGTCGCCGAGCCCTCGCCCGACTACGTCTCGTAGGCGCCTCGCCCCGCCACACATGGACG